GATTCGATCAGCAATAAGCTTAGGTCTTAAATTTACTTGAGTTTCATATGTGTGCCATCATATTTTTAATAGTCTGCATATTTTTACATATTATTCATTAAAATCCATAATCTAGTCATAAAGTTTATGGGAATTCATTATTCAGTATAAGAATGATTTATTTGTATTTCATGGAAATTAGAAGAAGATTGAGTCCGTCTGTGTTGATATTCCAAACGCAATAAAGATATCCGTGGTACGCTATAAAAGATGGCAATGTAAATATTTCATTGTTAACGCGTTCGATTAAGGTACAAAATGATTTATGACTTTCTTTCATCCGCTTTCTGTGCCACGGGACGTAATCAAATTTAAATGGCGTGCATAGACTTTATGTCAGTTTGAGTGAATTTCAATATCACACACAATAAGGAGTAATAGAAGGAGGATAAACAGTTATGACTGAAATGTGTTATGGAAGATTTGTGTCAGATTTATAAATTCCTGCTTAGTCTGTTAACTACTGCACGTGTATGTATTTATGACAAGTAACAATAGTCTTACTCAAGTCAGTATAAAAATTCTTATATATTTGTAAAAATTTATATCATAAATCATATGTAGTAAATTATGTACAACTGAAAGAGACGTGCCTACTGGTTCTACTCGCTCAAGACTGGCAAGGGTGAAAAGTCGACTGGATCGCAGAAGAAAATGTATACACATAAAAAAGAAAGAGAGAATTAACGAAAAGAAGGTAAAACAGAAGTGTGTAGGAAAGTCGAAGACAGCGAAAAAAAGTAATAAAAAGTGAAGAGGATCCTCAAGGCTCTTGACGGTAGAAACTAACCAGGCGTGGACGAAAGGAATATCAACAGCAAAGGAAATGATGAGAAGTTAAGAATGTTAAAAAGATAGACGAGTGGCTCATACAAGCCTAACCGGAAAATGTTCAAGATTGCGAAACCAGCGTAAAAGCTATTTGCCAACCTTTTATATTGAATTTTGATATCTCAAAAAGCTGAAAGAAAATTTTGATACATAATTAATTCATTTCCAGTTTAATTTATTAATTCATTTCCAAGGTTTTGCAATACTTGTACAAGAATAATAACCCAATGATGGTGCGCAACGAGGATGTAATATGTGACTCAACATGTATATCTGTAAAATATCATAAAACTAAAAACGCATTTCGTACACTTAAATTTCTTGTTAGGGGCAAAAAAGAAAAAGAAACTGTTGTGCTGATCACGCTCGAATGATTCTTAGCTGCCTTCATTAGTTATCGTCCGCCGTCGGATTTGTCTGTGCTTTCCGTTTGGCCTTGGAACGCGGTCCATTTCCCATCGTGTAGAACTGCCAAAAATCCTTAGGCGACCGAAAACAATAAAATAGCTTCTTCTGACTTCCATACCATCTAACCCGTTGATGTATCACCCTTGGCATCCTCTACAGTTCAAATTCATTGTCAGTCTCTTTATTATTCGCATTCTGTTTTAGTATTCACCGTTTCTTTGTGCTCTGTTATTGGCTTCTCTTTTCGTGGTAATTTATTCATATAATCCTAATCTCATGATACTTAGCTGGAATTATGGTTTTTCAATGATTTTCAATGATTAACGAACATAAAATGTTATTCCTATAAGAAACAAGAACTTATAAGAAACTTTCTTCATAACTTTACTTTGTTAAGAAATATTTATTTAATGTAACAAAGCAAGTAATTTCAAATAAAGAGAGAATTAAGCGACATCCGCAATATCCAACTGCGAGACCTTCTGCAGGGAACAGAATCGTGTGCGTTATCGCTTGTTTGCCAAGAGTCGCGGGAAGAGTCATATGGATTTGTTTGCAAGTTGCGCGTGGATCGCATGTGCCAACGGATCTCCCCTCGAACGTATCATGTTGCGGTGTCGCGGAAGAGAGAGAGATAGTCGTCAAGTATTCCGAGCGCATCGTCTTCCAAGATTTACGCCAAACTCACAATCAGCCCTCGAGCAAAGCTACTAACAAATAGATGTGCGCGTGAAATGTGAAGTAACTCTTATTCGAATGAATGTATGTACGTCGGGGAACAAGATTCTGTTCAAACGTGTAATACGTGCGCATTAAGTATCAATTAGACGTATTGAAAAATTAAACACATTGTTAATCACATTAATTTGCAATCACATATACTTTGTCAATATAGGAAAGTCTCGTTTTAATATAGAGTGATCCTATTAGCTAATAATGCCCAAGTGAAAGAACAGTAGCAGGAACTAACATTAGACAGTAAAAAGAAAGGGAAACGAACAGGTGACACAATTTGCTAGTAGCAAGACTCTTCAAGAAATTACGTGACATTTATTGCCATGCATTTCTTCCTCTCCCTCTTCTTCTCTTCTTATTAGTGTCGTCATTCCTTTACGAACTGGAGTAAAAAGAAGGAAACAATGAAGAAAGGAAAAAATTGCTGTGTAAACAATGGGAAAGCTTAATGGATTTCATCCTCGGCAATAAGGAAACTTCGAGTGCAATTAATGTGTTACCCTGAGAAGAGGTCCCACAAGTTTTCACCGAGTAGGTAGTACATAGGTACATTTTCATAACAATCGATAACTCAATTTCTCTCGATAGTCCGTTTCACTTTTTATTGTAATTTCCAATAACGTCTTTTCAATCAACTTATTAGCCAACGAGCCGTTTTGCAATTGAGATTTTCATGTCTTTAGAACAATGCCATAAATAATCTGATTATGAATTCAGCTGGGAACTGATTTCTTTCAACTGCACTTATTACTGCATAATTCATCGAGATAATCACTATTTATAGCAATTGCACCACTTATGAAGTTGTCCATTCTTATAATAATTTAAGACTTATCAATATCACTAATTTTCCTGTTAATTCAGAATCAATAGTTTAATAAATCTAATAATTCTGTCAGGTAATACAAATTTATAATTTTACGACATTGATTGTATTTAATGCTAGTTCTGGTTAATTTAACTCCACTTTTGCTTGAAATTTATCAGGACGAATTCAAAGAAGAGAAAAAAAAAGGATACTGGTCGCTAATTAAAATCTAAATAATTTGACGATATCGATTATACTTAATGCTAGTTCTGACTAATTTAACAGCACTTTTAATTGGAATTAATCAGGACGAACTCGAAGAAGCGAGAGGAAGGACAACGTTTCCGTCTTTCCTTCATTTACGAATTAATTAAACGTCACGGCATCAGGGAGGAAATGAAACGGGCGATGAGTCGTGGTTTTCTGAACGTGTTGGCAGCCGACCGACGATATTTCTGCGAAATGTCAAGCGGTGACTGCGTGGGTCGCGCGAAAGTATTCAGTAATGCGTCTCGTTAATATCCCCGACACTATCGAACCGTATTAAACTTTCCAATCAAGAAATCACGATATCGCGCGACGGTGAAATCGAAACTGTCCACGCGCAAGGTTTTCATTAGACGTAGCGACGCGCCGGTATCTCCATTTCCATATTTAAAGCTCATTCCACTGCTCGTTATCCTCTTCAGACTGCGATTAATTCCTGATTTTATTGCAGAATTCAAATGCGAATGATATTTCAATATTGTAGTTTAAAGAGAAACTCTTCATAAGAAATAATTAAGAAATAATTAAGGTAATGGTATTTATTTGACAAGCTTTGAAGATTATTGGAAAATCACAATTCCAGATAAATCAGTTGCTCATTAAAGTATGAATTAATTACTGCGGGAACGAGAAGAAGACGATATAAATAATTATTTAAGAACGTATTTGCAATTGAAGTTATTTTTTATCGGTTTATGTTTATCACCAAATAAATTGTCATGATTATCTAATAGCAATGACAATTTGAAAATAATTTAATAATTGTTGAAATATTGTGCAATGAAGCAAAACGTAGTAATTAATTGATAATAGGATGATGATATCAATAGTGAGCATGTATGTTAATTCAACTGAAAATACTTTTTCGTACAATAAACAGTTCACAATTCCATTAGCATTTGCATAGTTTGTACAAATTTAGGTGGCAGAATTAAACGACTCGGTACATATGTATATATGTACGTACGTATGCATATGCATGCACACGTACGTTTATATGCATACACATTCAATCAGCATCGCTAGCGCCGAACAGTACATTAGCAGCGCGATAGTCGAATACCAAACATACATATATCCACCTATGACCTGTGTAGACACATGAACCAATAGCCAGCTAAATGATGTTTGACATTACCGTGAAACGTTAGTTTGAGAGTTCAGCCAGTTCGATCGAATTTAACTCAGTCTCATGGTTCCTCATCCAGATTCGTTCACATCCTAAGATATCCCCCAAGCTTCCCGGCTTAACCCACCCCCAATCTACTTTGACATCTATTCAATAACAATTCAACAATTTCATTCTTGATTTGAATTAACTACTTATATACTACATATTAAGTATTATATAATACATATTTCTTATAATTAGATTGCCAATTTTTATATAGAATAAAATATCTGTATTAGTCAATTAGAATAAACGTTACTTTTATCATTTATTCATTGCATTATGTTCTTTTAATATTTCAGACAGCTTTGTATGCATTACGTGCAATTTCTCTATGTTCAATTCTAACATAAATACATAAAATTATCAATTTAATTATAATAAACGATATTGACGAATTTGCGTGTAGAATGGTAAGCGAGGCCGAAACTGAATTTGAAAATCCTTGAAGCATGCGCGATGGGAGCCAATAATCGGTAATTTTAATAAAACCCACATCAACTACGAATCTCATTTACGGCACATTGAAGTTTTCAAGTATTCGCGTGGAAACCTTGGCGAACACACCAAGGCTGCAATAATCAGATTCTTGAGAGAGTTCCTGTCACCGCTCAGGGAATATATTCACCCACGTACGTACACAGCGATGGTATTACCTTAAACCACAGATACCCATTACCAGACAATGGTTCCAATAATGTTATTCGAAAATAGCCTTCGCTTATTATCAATTAATATAGGAATTTCTCTGGCTGATAGATAAGTTGATAAGTCTATAATTCT